CATACAAATCCGATTTAAATTAAAAAAAAATCAGATTTTTAATTTTTTTTTTTTAAATCGATTTTTGCCCACCCTGGCAGAAAGAAAACCGCTGCTTGCACATTCAGGAGAGACGTGTTTTGGCAGAAAAATATGCCTATTACACCTTAACAAGTCTAAAGGCTAGGAGCATATAGCACTTTAGCGTTCATTTATTTTAATGACCAATTAATATTCTGGCTATAGGAACGAATAATTGCCCTAATGCTTGAGGCACCTAAACGTTTGCAAAAATGCAGCTTTAGGTGCATTTTTAAAGTTGCTTTTCTCCCGCCACGAAAAAAGGTGGGCATACAGAAGAGCTGGGTAAACGACCAGTGTGCACGAGATATTATTCTGGCCATTGGAATGAATGAATACTCAAGCAATGAACATGTCTACTGTTTAGGCATATATAGATGGATTTACAGGCATTTAGCCATCTTCAGAGTTTTTTCTATCCAAAAGCTTCTCTCCTGAATGCGCTGGTGGTGCTTTTTTTCAGCCTTAAAATGCTCCTCTTCTAAAACACTTGTAAATGCATATTTATGCATGGCCACATAGGCTAACATACATATGCATTTATAGGCTGAAAAAAAAAAAAAGGCAAACACCTGTAAAAGCGTTGTTTTTTTTTATGTGTGTTTTTTATGTGTGTGCATGAGGCCTTTGTGTAATAATATAAAGGACTATAAGGTCATTTATTATGCAGTATATTACAATATTATATATCATAATCAGACAGTGCATGGGAGAGGAATGGTTGCCATAGATAAATTGGTCATTAGCACACATTATGTAGTGACAGGTATGCATTGGTTTCCAGGTAGATTTAAGTGCATTTTCACTTTATTCCTTTGTAACAACTTAACTCTGAAAAATCTCAGGAAATCTACCTCTATTGGGCCAGTCCTAAGTGGATGCTCACAGCTTGATCAGCATGGGAATTTCAAAACACTGTGCACCTGGCAATCATGTACAGTTGTGTTCACAATAATAGCAGTCAGACATCACTGACCTGATTAATCACTGTTTTTGGTAGAAATTATATTTCTACATGGCAAATAATTTACTAGCAGGTGTAGTAGAGTAATAGAAATCCAACAGACTCAACAGTCATGACATGCATGCTGCTGATTCTGTGTAATTCAATCACTAATTGAAAGGGGCATGTTCAAAATAATAGCAGTGTGGAGTTCTATTAGTGAGTTCATTCATTCTTTGAAAAACAGGTGGCAATTATTGCCCTTATTTAAGGAAGGAAGGCAGCAAATGTTGTACATGCTGGTTACAGTGCATTTCTCTCTGAAATTCTGAGGAAAATGGGTCATTCCAGACATTGTTCAGAAGAACAGCGTACCTTGAATAAAAAGTTGATGGGAGAGGGGAAAAATATAAAGAAGTGCAGAAAAGGATAGGCTGCTCAGCTAAAATGATCGCAAATGCTTTAAAATGGCAACCAAAACCAGAAAGACGTGGAAGAAAGCGAAAAACTACCATTCGAATGGATAGAAGAATAGCCAAAATGGCAAGGACTCAGCCAACAATCAGCTCCAGGAAGATCAAAGAAGGTCTAAAGTTACCTGTGAGTACTGTTACAATTAGAAGACGCCTATGTGAAGCCAAGCTATCTGCAAGAAGCCCCCGCAAAGTCCCACTGTTGGAAAAAAGACGTGCTGAAGAGGTTACAATTTGCCAAAGAGCACATTGACTGAGCCTAAAGAGAAATGGCGCAACATTTTGTGGACTGATGAAAGTAAGATTGTTCTTTTTGGGTCTAGTGGCCGGAGACAGTTTGTCAGACGAGCCCCAAACACTGAATTCAAGCCACAGTACACTGTGAAGACAGTGAAGCATGGTTGCACAAGTATCATTATATGGGGATGTTTCTCATACTATGGTGTTGGGCCTATTTATCACATACCAGGGATCATGGATCAGTTTGAATACATCAGAATACTTGAAGAGGTCATGCTGCCTTATGCTGAAGAGGAAATGCCCTTGAAATGGGTGTTTCAACAAGACAATGACCCCAAACACACCAGTAAACGTGCAACATCTTGGTTCCAGACCAACAAGATTGACGTTATGGAGTGGCCAGCCCAATCCCCGGATCTTAATCCAATAGAAAACTTGTGGGGTGACATAAAAAATGCAGTTTCTGAGGCAAAACCAAGAAATAGAGAAGAACTGTGGAATGTAGTCCAATCATCCTGGGCTGGAATACCTGTTCACAGGTGCCAGAAGTTGGTTGACTCCATGCAACAAAGATGTACAGCAGTTCTCAGAAACAAAATCTTCAAACATTTTTCAGTTTATATAGTGAATGTTTGAGTTTGTAAAGAATACAAACACTGCTATTTTTATGAACAGTCTAATATTCACTTTTCTTCCATTTTTTTTAGAGGAACAACACAAATTTGAAATATTTTTCTTCAAGTTTTGATTTGGAATAGAATGTGTAGTGTTCCCAATGCATTTGTGTGTATGGAAATAAAAGCTATTAGAAGGATTTTGAGCTTTATTCACTTTTTCAACACACTGCTATTATTTTGAACACAACTGTATATAAGCTCTAACGTTGGCCATACATACAGGGATTTGATGATTCAACCTCAATTTTGAAGTTAAATTGAAAAAGAGGTCCAAATCAAAAAATAATAAAAATCCACTATTTTATTGCTAGTCTTTTGAATTGTTCCTCTATCTAAATTAAAAAAAAATTACTAGTCCATGTAGACCAGTGTTGTCTTCCTTTCAGCCCAAAGATCTCCTTCCTTCCTCTGATCCAGCATTGTCATGTTGGACATACAATATATACCACTCATGCATATGCAACCACAGGTCTGTTCCAAGTCTACAGGACCTGGCAGAGCTTTTCTGGTCTATCCGCATAGGCACGAATTGCAGACCCCCCCCCCGCACATGTGCAGACACAGCACACTTCTCTTCTGGGTCCCATACATTAGACGACCTGCTGCTTTGTGTGCATGTTTGTGGGGGGGTTGCAGGATTTCACAAATGTGTGGATGAGCCTTGGGGCTCTGCCAAGTCCTATAGACCCCTGACATGTCTGCACATTCACAAGATGTTTACTTTACATGTCATCCTTGCAAGGATGCAGGAAGAAAGAATAATATTCAAAAAGAGATTTTGTTTTTGTTTAAAAAACATTTTTTCCAATTGCATTAAAAGCAGGAGAAGGGAAATAATTTTCACAGGTGAAGATCTGCTATACAGAATCCTGTTTGAATTTGGTGGAAAATATGATTGCCTACCATGAGACCTTAGTGATCCAAAGCTGGTTGAGTAGCTGATATCACTGAAAATTGGTAATATATTGCTAGCATAATGCTGGACACACACATAATGACTTTTAATTTCCCCCACTCTCAACTTCAAAAACCAAATAGATTAAACCTACCACTAGCAGTTTTTTTAAACACTGAGAAATTATCTAAAACCGTGGTTCATTCCATTACCTATGTGATTAAAAGTTGTTGAATTGCCTGACAATTGGCATATGTATGGCCAGCATTACATTAGCATAGACACCCTCAATTGTTCTTAAGAAAGGGGGAGGCAGCTGACCTTTCTTGGCTGATTGCTATTGTTCTCTCTGGATGAGAAGTTACTGAGGCTGTCTGCTCTGTGCACAGATATGCAAGCTTGGCTGATTACAGTTCATTTCTATGCGCATCTTTAAAAAAACTGTTTGGTGGTCAGACTACACTCTCTTCCATCTGTTGCCAGCTTTAGACAGACTGCAGATGTGATATAACAAGTACAAGTATTCCCCTTTGTATTGCTGCTTTCACTGCAAACTTGTGTGTGAAAAATCCATGATCCTTAACTACTTGCCTACCCAGCCAGTTCTGACACTCCTCTCCCACATGTGAAAATCGGCTTTTTCTTTTTTCTAGAAAACTACTTAGGATGCCCAAACAGATGATATATATATATATATATATATATACACACACATATACAGGGGCGGACTGACCATTCGGGCACTGCCTGAGGGCCCAGGGTCAGTAGGGGGCCCCATGAGATGCCCCTGGTACCTTTCATAGGCTTTTCTGGATGTGGTTTGTGTGTGGATGAGGACACAGGGACCCCATGAACCTCTAGTGCCCGGGGGCCCCATGAGTTGTCAGTCCGCCCCTGTGTGTGTGTGTATATATATATATATATATATATATATATAAATTGTTTTCTTAGCAGAGGACCTAGAGAATAAAATGGTGGAAGTTGCATATTTTTAGACAATATTTGTGCAGCGGTATTTCAAATGCAATTTTTTTGAGAATAAACACAACTTAACCACTTGCACTGCTGAGGATTTACCCCCCTTCCTGACCAGGCCATTTGTGGCCTTATATCAACTATGGTTGCTTAGGATTACTGCACCTATCAATTGCTATCACTGCTGTAAACCTAAACCTGATTGGTTCCTTACAGTTACAGCACTTACCAATTGAAACCCTAAGAGTAAAGTGAACTGTGATTGGTTACTCCGGGTTACTGCAGCTTACAATCATTACTCTATGCACAGAAGCCCGCCAATCTCTCGTTGTAGAGAGGTGGGGAGAGGAGCCATTCGCTCCAGCTTGGTTATGTATATGAGAGTCTAGTCTCCGTAGTTTCTCTCCCATCACTGTGTATTGTGTAGTGGCTCAGGAACAAGTGAACAGTCTCCCTGCCTGGCGGTGTCTCCTCTCCCATCACACTCAGCCAGTCCTCGGCTTCAGTCATCAGCTGTGCGCATGCGTGCTGGTCACTGCTCCGTCTCGGCATAGGGAGGCTGGGGAGCTTGGCTTGGGCCTGAGCTGGGGCTTCCTCGGCCTGACAGAGTGTGGAGGGCGGCAGGAGAGTGGCGATCGTCTTCCCTGGCTGTAGAATGGAGCCCTGAGCTCGGAGCTCGTCTACAGAGGCCTGTACTGGGGAGGGAGGAGGAGGATCGGGGGAGCATCGCTGCCATCATGGCTCAGGAGAAAATGGAGCTGGACGTGGAGATCCCCAGCGATGGCAGCCTGAGGAGGTCCAACAGTGCCCCCCATATTAACGGGCTCAGGTGAGGATGGGGGTGTGGGTAGAGACGGAGGGGGTGTTGGATGAGCTTCAGAAATCAGGTGGCTGGATGTGTCCAGGATGGAGCCAACCTGTGGACTTCCAGCTGGGAAGGAGCTGCAGCACTCAGCATAGGACATGCTGGATGGACATGCTGGGACTGCTAGTTCTCCAGAGTCTGGCCTGCTGCATTGCCTCCAGTGTGGGATCCTGGCTATTGTCTGCTGTCCCTCACTGATGGTCCCTGGAAACATCCCAGCTAGTGGCTTCCATTCATGGTTTGCTGGAAGGTGAATGTGTGGACAGAAGAGTCTGATCCATGGGCAGGACGGTGTGATCTGGGGGCCATTCATATTGTGTGTTTGGAAAATGCATGTTTTAGCGTATTTGTAATGCTTTGTGTTTAAATTTAGGGCTGCGCATGTGTTTTGCTTGCGCTTGTCACCTGGGAAAAATTGACATTGACTTTAAAAGTTCAATGTGTTTTTAGTGTGCCCCCATTTTTCTTCAATAGAAGGTGGGTTCTTCAAACGGGGTGCTAAAAGTGCTGCAAGTGGGACTTTTCAAAAGTGCAGTGCACAGATGTGAACAGTTAGGATTGGGGGCCAGTTCACACCACGAAAACTGTTTTTGCATACAGTTCACACCACACTCTGGTGCGTTTTTGATGGGTTTGCTGTGTTCCAGCGCAGTTCTGTGCAGAGAAAATCCAGCATGTTTCTTTTTTTTTTTTTTTTTTTTTTTTTTTTTTCTGCACCTGGAACAAACTGCACTGGTGTGAACTATGGCCATTGGAATACATGATGCAGGAAAAAAAAATGCATCTGGTGTGAACCATCCGGGACCTTTTTTCATGTGCTGGGAAGGTGCATTCTAGCATGGCAAAAGCACACAGGTATGAACAGGGCCTTAGGCTAAGTTCACACCTGTGCATGTGTGGTTGATGTGTGCGTTTTCATGTTTTGTTTTTTTTTTGTGGAGGAAGAGACTGGTTGTTAGACACAAACCACTTTCAAAAAAACGCATGTACATTGTAGTCTGGGGAGCCAAAAACACTGTCCTGTATGTGTGTGCAAAAAAAAAAACTGCGAAGATGTGTATGGGACCCATAGAAAATTTTACATGGGCTGTAGTGCGTTTCTGCACTTCAGCAAACAAACTAAAAGCATAGATTTGAACCTAGCCTAAGAATCTCATTATAAGAGATATCCAAATGTAGACCCTTTACAGTGTGCGGACCAGTACACGGCATGTCACGGTGACCCTTTACAGTGTGCGGACCAGTACACGGCATGTCACGGTGACCCTTTACAGTGTGCAGACCAGTACACGGCAGGTCGCGGTGACCCTTCACAGTGTGCAGACCACTACACGGCAGGTTGCGGTGACCCTTCACGGTGTGCAGAGCACTACACGGCAGGTCGCGGTGACCCTTCACAGTGTGCAGAGCACTACACGGCAGGTCGCGGTGACCCTTCACAGTGTGTACACGGCAGAGCACTACGCGGCAGGTCGCGGTGACCCTTCACAGTGTGCAGAGCACTACGCGGCAGGTCGCGGTGACCCTTCACAGTGTGCAGAGCACTACGGGCAGGTCGCGGTGACCCTTCACAGTGTGCAGAGCACTACGCGGCAGGTCGCGGTGACCCTTCACAGTGTGCAGAGCACTACACGGCAGGTCGCGGTGACCCTTCACAGTGTGCAGAGCAGTGTGCAGAGCACTACACGGCAGGTCGCGGTGACCCTTCACAGTGTGCAGAGCACTACACGGCAGGTCGCGGTGACCCTTCACAGTGTGCAGAGCACTACACGCAGGTCGCGGTGACCCTTCACAGTGTGCAGACCACTACACGGCAGGTCACGGTGAAGGGTCCTAGGAAATATTTTAATTGGCTAGTGTTTGCCTGTGCCAGAATGAGAGACAATTGGGGGTTATACAACTCATACCAAAAAAGTGAAGTCCAATGATGGGGACTGGGCCAAGGATCAGCAGTATTTGTTTTAATAACGCTGGTAACGTTAGCTGTGTAAAGTTGCGTTAAAAACGTGAGGTTTTTTAGCGTTTTTCTATTAGCGTTTAGTGACTTTTTTCATGTTTGTGGTTTTTAGTGTTTTGGGTTTTTTTGATTTTATTTTTTTTTTTGTTGACCAAAAAGCAATTTTTTTCTTTTTGGTCAAAAAAAAGTCCAAAATGCTGGTTTGCTGCAATTTACCACATTTGGCTGCGTTTTTTGATGTTAGAGCATTTTTACAGCTAAAGAACCTCTTAGAAACCCACTAGTTCTGTGTTTTTTTTTTTTTTTTTCTCTTTTTTTTTTTTTTTTCCAGCCAAAAAACATTGATTACAATCTGTGTGCATGGGCACATAGGATAACATGCTGGGGGGGGGGGGGTTACTGGCTGTAGAAAGACGTCAAAAGCCAAACAGAGCAGCTGTAAAAATGTCCATTGTGAATGAGGACTAAGCCCCAGTTCACACTAGAAAATCGGCAATCTGTGCACATTTCTCGCATTTCCTTTCAAAATGCACTTCTTTTGCAGTCTGCACAGGGTGTCAGTCGCAATTTAACAATGCTCCAAAAACAGGCCGCAAACGCAGTGTTTGCTTGCACCGGATTGGATGGTGCAAAACTACCATGTGATTTGGTTACAGTGCATTTCCAAAAGTAGTTAATGCAACTATGCCGTAGTACAGCAAAATGAATGGGCTCACACCACACTGCACTGAATTGCATGTGAATTGCACATGAATGTAGTTTTCCTGTGAAATTCCTAGTGTGAAAATAGGCTTAGTGTACTATAGGTACTTTGGCTCTTGTGGAACTACAGATCCCAGCATACCTTTTATGTGATTTGTAGTTTTACAAAACTGGAGTGACTGCTTTATCCAACAAAAATAATTTATTAAATCTACTGCATGTAGGTAATAGTTATAGTTATGGGGGGGGGGGGGTCTATAACAAGGTGACTTCTTGTGGACCATGCAAGACTCGCAAGTATGATGAGATTTGTAGTATCACCAGACATGAAGTGCTGAAGCTGCCTACCCCAGTTGAATTTTTTTTTCTTCGTCTACATACCTGCACTGAGCTTTTGTATTTCAGGGTTTTGGGGGAAAAAAAGCTTAGGAATTGCACTGAGCACTGTCCGTGTGTAACTTTTTTTTGCCCTGCATTTAATTTCTCAGGCCAGCTTTGTGGAGGTCTATCCCCTTGACATAAGCAGTACTGTTAGGCCACCTACAGAGCATTTAAATCCTAGGTGGTTCATCAGGGACCGGCCCAGATTCTATCCATCTATAAGGAGGCTGGTTGTACTGAAGTCGATCCGTCGATCGATTTTAGTACAACCATCCTTTCAAATATTTTGCATGCTATTACTGCTGGCAGCTATGGCTGCTTGCAACAATCATTGTTCTGCCGGCAGGGAAAGCTTCTTGATGGCAGAACTCAATAGTGGCTGTTGATGGTGGGGGATTGAGCAATTTTTCTTTCCTTCAACCTAGGGTTGCAGTAGGGAAAATCGCATCATCTGTGGCTTGCCTTACACTTACAGTACTGCATGTGGTTGAAGTAGGGGGCAGACTCCAGAAAGCAGTCTTGAAAAATTAACTGTTGGGGCTCATTCACATGGGTGTCCAAAACCCTGCATACAGATGTGTATAGCCTTGATTGCACCTGTACACAGCAGCAGGGAAGGCGAAGGGCCCAGTGTAGTATTGTGCTGTATTGGTCAGAGTAAAAAGAAAAATCTGCAGTCATCGTCCATGTTTAGACTGTATATTATGATGTACACTTGTAAACGTTCGCGCTAATGTTTATGTGCGTACAGCATAAATGGGTTCTATTAATAGCTGCCATTGTTTAGGGCTACCATGTAAATATCAGCAATATGGAGAAAGTGTCACCATCGATGATTACTTACTATTGATGTTTATATCTTCCCTGAATAAATCCTTTAGGCAGCAGCAACACATGGACAGAATGACCTCCAACTTCAGCCATTTACGGGGATAGTGTGTAAACAGAGGTACCACCGATTGCATTATTTAGTCAACACTAAGACGCAGCAACAGGCAATAGCGTACATGTACACTTGTAACCATTAGCAGAAGTATTCTATACACACCACATACTGACCACTTTTATATAGGTTCTTGCTACCAGTAAGATTCTGCATAAATCAGTCCCGGTGCTGTGAATGAGACCTTCGTGTAAACAAAGTATCACAGACCGTATTCAGCTGTGTTCTTGGAATCGCACTAATGCCACTATAAATACCTTAAATAGAAACTTGGCTTCCAAAAGAGAGAGTCTGTTCCCTTTTCCTTTGGATAGTCTTCTTGTGCTGTAACAATATACTTCCAAGCCCAGTGAATTCAGCGTTGTCCTCTTCTATTGCCCTGATGTCCTGCCCTGTGCCACCATCTTCTTTTCTTGCTTTTACAGGAAGCCGCCTGGTTCCTGCAGTCCCCACAGTGACACGGCACCGGACATTGAACGTGTACAAAAAGTCTTTGCCGATACTGTACTATGAATGGTGGATAATAATGTCTCCTGGGATATCAATATTGTATATTTTGGAGACATCGCTTTCCTCCATTCATAGAACAATATGTAAACCGTCATGGTGGCAGATCTGTCTGCGCATGCGCGATATCAGGCGCCACCTTTGTTTACTTCCCCCATTTCTATATACATCTCTAAAGCTAAGTATTGACTCGGGGCTGAATACAAATGCACGCCACCATTTTCAGGTATTTATTGGTAAAAAAAATGTGAAAACCATTTAGCATTTTCCTTCCACTTCACAATTATGTGCCACTTCGTGTTGGTCTATCACATAAAACCCCAATAAAATACGTTCACGTTTTTTGGTTGTAACATGAAAAAATGTTGAAAATTGCAAGGTATATGAATACTTTCTCAAGGCCCTGTAAATGGGGGGGGGGGGGGATTAATACTTCCTGAAATGTGACATCTGTATCCTAGGAGGCAGCGGGAGGGGAGTGAAACATCTTTTTCCCATAGAGAATGGCAGCAGGGCTAAAAAAAAAAAAAAAAAAAAAAAAAGTCCATCTCCAACTTCTGTTTATGTCCCCAATTCAGCTAGAGATTTTGCAGCTGTAGTGGCAACTCTGCACATGTTCATTTTCAGGGAATTTTTATGCTGAGCATTTCCTCCCTGTCACACCTGAGCAGGCCAGCCCATGTGTTTATAGAGTCATACACTATAGTCCCAAAAGCCTGCCTTTAAACACACATGAACTTTAATGGCATCCCAGTCTTCGTCCTTAGGGTTCAATATTGAATTGGCCCCCCTTTGCAGCTATAACAGCTTCAATTCTTCTGGGAAGGCTGTCCACAAGGTTTAGGAGTGTGTCTATGGCAGTGTTTCTCAACTCCAGTCCTCATGGACCCCCAACAGGTCATGTTTTCAGGATTTCCCTCGGATGAAACAGCTGTGGTAATTACTAAGGCAGTGAAACTGATCAAATCACCTGTGCAAAATAATGGAAATCCTGAAAACATGACCTGTTGGGGGTCCATGAGGACTGGAGTTGAGAAACACTGGTCTATGGGAATGTCTGACCATTCTTCCAGAAGGGCATATGTGAGGTCAGGCACTGATGTCGGACGAGAAGGCCTGGCTTGCAGTCTCCTCTAATTCATCCCAAAGGTGTTCTATTGAGTTGAGGTCAGGACTCTGTGCAGGCCAGTCAAGTTCCTCCACCTAAAACTCGCTCATCCATGTCTTTATGGACCTTGCTTTGTGCACTAGTGCACAGTCATGTTGGAACAGGAAGGGGCCATCCCCAAAGTGTTCCCACAAATTTGGGAGCATTAAAGGGTCGAAAATGGCTTGGTATGCTGACTCCTGTAGAGCTCTCTTCACTAAAACTAAGGAGCCAAGCCCAACCCCTGAAAAACAACCCCACACCATAATCCCCCCATTCTCCTGACAACCGGCAAACCCAGACACGTCCATAAGATTACCAGACAAAGAATCGTGTATCGTCACTTCAGAGGACACATCTCCACTGCTCTAGAGTCCAGAGGTGGCATTCTTTACACCACTGCATCCAATGCTTTGCATTGCACTTGGTGATGTAGAGCTTGGATACAGCTGCTCAGCCATCGAAAACCATTCCATGAAGCTCTCTATGCACTGTTGTTGTGCTAATCTGAAGGCCACACAAAGTTTGGAGGTCATTAGCTATTGACTCTGCAGACAGTTGATGTCTTGTGTGCGCTTCAGCATGCGCTGACCCCGCTCTGTCATTTTACGTGGCCTACCATTTTTTGGCTGAATTGCTGTTTTTCCCAGTTTCTTCCACTTTGCAATAACACTAACAGTTGACCGTGGAATATTTAGTAGCAAGGAAATTTCATGGATGGGACTTTTTGCACTGGTTGCAACCGATCATGTTACCACGCTTAAATTCATTGAGTTCCTGAGAGCGACCCATTCTTTCACAAATTTTTTTTTTTTTCAGAAGCGGTCTCCATGCTTAGGAGCTTGATTATATACACCTGTGGCCATGGCGGTGATTGGAGCACCTGAATCCAATGATTTGGAGGGTTGGCCCAATACTTATGGCAATATAGTGTATGTGAGCGTATACACAGTGGTAAATGACAACCCACTCTCTCCCTCCTGCATTCTCCCTAACCAGCTAAACGCGACGGAGGCAGGATATTACATGTAGATCGATGGAGGCTGTACCTCCCTCTTATTCTAAGACACAGGCTGGAGGGGTGTGACACAGCCTGTGACTGACACAAATCCGCCCACACCTTGTTTCCACAAAATAATAAAGCTTTGATTTTCACATATATATTTGTATGCCAATTTAAAACTTGATTTTATTTATTTTTACTCTGTATTCCAAAGGCTTTTTTTTTTTTTTTTTCTTTTTTTTTTTTTTTTTTTTTTAATTTTGAAAATGTGACCAGCAGCAGAGGACTAGACGCTCCTCCTGCTTATGTTTCCCTGCAGACAGGCTGGGAAAGATCTGGGTCATGTGGCAGCTGTATATCGATTAGGAAAAAGGTACTTAGATGTGTTTTTTGTTTTTATAATAAAATTACTGTGCCATCATCCACATAACGGAAATAGAAGGGACAATGTCAATTTAAAAAGTGTGTGTTTAGTATCACTTTAAATGATGGCCCACTTTAAGCAGCTTGGTGAATTTAACCTGATAACTCCCACAACCTAACACAGCAATTTTCAGGATTTGCGTATGTGAAAGTTTTAACATAGCTGTTGCGTCAGACTACCAACAAAGGGAGGTGTGCAGTGTTCAGCTTCCTTTCCCGTTAAGCAGTATGCATGCAATATAATTTCAGTAAATGATTTGTTTTTTCATTTGTGCATATTGTCTTTTTAGATTTTGGGTTTTCCTTTCTTTAAATACAGTGGAGTTGCACCTCATAGGAGGAAGGAATAAAAATTGCAAAGGCCACCATTTCTAACCTCCTTAAATGAGAAAACAAAAAAAAAATGCTAGTGGCCTGACTGTCATGCTGATCCAATGGTGTCAGTACTTTCATACAAAACAAGTATGCACATCTGGTGGTCTGACGTCTGCTAGTTGTGTTGTCTCAATGTGTTTTGGCTTTATTATTGGGAATCTCTGAAACATGCATGCAGCATTTTTGAAAGCTTGGCGATGTCCGCCCCCATATTTTTCTTGGTACATGATTCCTTCAAAGTCTTCTGTGCCTAATTTTAAGTGACATATTTTTAAAAAAATGTAACCTTCTTTTCTAACTGCTGCTTTTTCACTGTTTGCAGTGATCACTCACAAGTGTTCCAGCACTATGCAGCAAGGGCACGCAGAAACAGCACCACTGTGGTGAACCGCCAGAACCTGGTAAGTGTACATGGGGATCCAAAGGTAATTTCAAGTAGAGCTAAACCACCAAACCAAAATTTATCTGTGCTCTTTTCTGTTTCCAGTGCTTCAGCCTTTTCCTGGTCCTCTTCTGGATTCAACAACTTGATTGGCAGGGCCCAGATGTTGTAACTTCTGTCTGTGTGTACAGAATTGTGCCAAGACTATACACTGAGCTGCACATGCACAGCTCCGTGTACACTTGTAGAACAAAGTGCCAATAGTCGTGGAGAAACATCTGATGGAAAAGATAAATCCTCTCTTCTGTCATAAAAAGCCTACCTGGCAGCAATTTTACCAAAACATCATAAAGGTTTTTAGATTCCATTTCCAAATATGCAGTTTTGGTGCAGCACAATATTCTTGTTGTTAACACTGAGGAAAACGGATATGGACTGCATCTGGAAGAGTGTGGGATCTAAAGTTTTATTATAGGCTGGATTCACACCATGTCCATTGCATTTAGTTTGTGTTAACATGCTTTTTTGTTTTTTGACATGTGCTGACATCCGCAAATTTCATTGATGTGCATTTTTTTAACACATCGCATTAATGTTTTCAAATGCAGCATGTTAAATGCAAAGTCTGCATGTTGCTCTTTTAACCTTCATCTTTTTAGATCTATTTATATGGAAAAAAAATGTAACTGAGCATGGTTAGTCCTATCAGATAGGAAATCTGTAAAGAAAACTTTGCATGAATGTCACAACTTAATAGAGCCAAGTATTGAGTTTATATTTTTAAAGGGACCCAGTCACCACTAACAAAACTGAATAGTCTTTTAGGAAGTATTTTAATGCGTACTTGGCCCACTGCTAAAAACATCAAGATGCCTATGCAACTGGCACACGTATGAGTGTGTTGGGTATCTGGTCCTTGGCTGAGCTTCCATTTTTACTGCATCATGTAGTGTTATAAGTGTTTGCAAGAGAACCACAGAATGCAGAGAGGACCAGGAATCTGACAGATTCTGTAGACAGCGATATCTCTTGAATATGTCTGAGAAAGGTGATGCAGGCAGATACAGGTTCTCGTAAACACAGCAGCCGTCACTTTATTACTTTTACTCACCTTGTACTTTAATCTTTTCTGTACAGGTACCATCTTCCTCCCCTGTGCGAATACCAAGCAGCAGACTTCATCAGCTGAAAAGGGTAGGGATTGTTGGTCTATACATTTACTTTGATTTACAGTGTTGGTGTGCACATAGACATGATATGAGAAAAACTAATATGTTATCTCAGTTTGTATTACGTAAAAGTTGGTTAATGAATTTTAGTTGACTTCACGCAGTTTCCAGTGTGTGTACTCTGCATTTTGTAGCCATTCTTAACATTTAAGTGTTACGAAAGGCAATTTTGTTTTTTTTTTTTTTTTTGTTTTTTGATTTTTTTTTTTTTTTTTTTGTGCGTGTTTTTAATTAGCCATGTTATACTTGCCTGCTCTGTGCAACGGTTTTGCAAAGAGCAGCTCCAAACCTCTTATTCTGGGTTCCTCCACTGTCAATCTTGGCTCCTCCTCCTTATGCCTCCATAGCAAGCCGCTTGCTTTGGGGCACACACAAAAAAAAAAAAAACATTTACAAATCTGAGAGTCCTTGTTTAGCCCCAGATAATTAAAAATAGAACTCCCATTCTCAGTCACACTATGCTGTTTGCTTCCTGTATGTGTTAATGTAGGACACGGTGTTGGTACTTACACAGTGGGACCTTTAAATCTTGATTTCTAGTAAGCCTGCCAGTAATGGGATCCCCATGACTTTACAAGCTGCATGCTTGGTCCAGGTCATTAACTTGCAGCCATAGGGGGAGAATTATTGTCAGTTTTTCTATCTCTTTGGAAATAATATAGCCCTGTTTTAATAGATGTGTTTTTAAAGTATAAGTGCATTTCTACTTTCTACCTATTCAAGGCTCACCTGGTCCTCCTTGTCCTCCCATTTAAATATATATGCCTCACAGGACGATCACTTCATTTTAAAGATTATGTAAAGCCAACATTTCATATTCCTGATATGTGCCTGCTGTACCTGTATGGAAAAAGTATTTCTGTGTGTGAAACCCCTGGTATTCCTGCCAGTCCCTCTGTTTTCCTATTTAAAAACTGGCCACACTAAGCAGCAGAACACACTGTGGTCAGTTCTCAAGCTGTGCTGGGAACCCAGCCTGTTCTCTATTGATCAAACTTTACCTGAGTCACTGGAAAGATCAGTCACTGCTGTTTTCTCCTCCCCCAGTTCTTATGCAGCATAGAACAGAGAATATATGATCACATATATTTAAAAAAAAATGGTATTTATAATGTTTTTTTTATAAATATATACAGTTGTGTTCAAAATAATAGTGTGTTGAAAAAAGTGTATAAAGCTCAAAATCCTTTTAATCGCTTTTATTTCCATACACACAAATGCATTGGGAACACTACACATTCTATTCCAAATCAAAACATGAAGAAAAATATATCAAATTTGTGTTGTTCCTCTAAAAAAAAATTGAAGAAAAGTGAATATTAGACTGTTCAAAAAAAATAGCAGTTTCGGGTCTCTGTATCAATTTGGATAAGACTGTCGCGCTTAATATTACTTTGGCCTCAGATTTGGTTTTGCGCCTACAGTCCCACTTCCCTTTATAAATGGGCTTCTTCTTCTCTTGAATATCTAGGCATCCGCTTGACCCCCACCTATGACTCACTGTTTGCTGCAAACTACTATCCACTGCTTCGCTCTGTGTCCTCTCTTATGCATTTTTGGCAATTTCCACACCTGTCATGGATTGGACGGATTAATTCAGTAAAAATGACCATCTTGCCGAAACTGCTATACTATTTTCGCACCCTCCCAGTGCGGGTTCCTCCTCATTTCCTTCGGTTGCTTCAGGCAAAGATTATGCGTTTTATCTGGGCCAATAAACGCCCCAGAGTTTCCAGAACTACGCTTTTTGTCCATAGACTTCAGGGTGGCCTTGGGGTTCCCAATGTTACTAAATATTATCAGGCGAGCCAGATCGCCCCGCTATCTATGTTGCATGCTTCCTCAGACATACCTCTCTGGGTCCTCCTGGAACTACCTAATTGTGCCCCTATTGCGATATCGACACTTCTATGGCTTCCCTCTGCCTTGCGTCCCACGGCACTGAGTCCGATTTTGCTCCATGGCTTGCAAGTGTGGGACTCGGTACGTTACTCCAGTGGCCTAATGTCACCTTTTTTGCCTTTGCTCCCAATCACTAACAACCCCCTCTTCCCACCAGGTTTAGATCAACCAAGGGCGTTTTCTTGGTGGGTGACCAATGGTTTTTCCCAGGTACGACACTTTTTGACCTCTCGGTCCTTCCCTACCTGGAATTCTCTTCGGGAGTCACTGGATGTCCCTCCGGTGGAGTTTTTTCTTTGCCTTCAATTGCGGCATTGGCTGATCTCATTGCGGGGCACGTCTGTCTTCCCGTACCAGAAATCTGCCTTTGAACAGCTTTGCCAACAATGGCCAGGCGCCCCAGGCCTTACTTCCCTTCTTTATGCAGCTTTGAATAGACGCTCGCCGCATACTTCTCTTTCATATGTCGTTCAGTGGGAGCGCGACCTGGGAGTGGCCGTGGATCCGGAGGACTGGAATAAGGCCTGGTCACTCATAGCTAAATGCTCATTTAATACGACCACGCTGGAGGCAGCCTATAAGGTATTGTTTCGCTGGTACTGGGTTCCGGCTCGGTTGGCCCGGGCTAACCCTGCCTGTAGTGATCAATGTTTTCGGGGTTGTGGCCATCGTGGAGATGTATTGCATATCTGGTGGTCATGCCCGAGACTGTTTCGTTTTTGGTCTCGTGTGTTTGGCCTCCTTTTCACCTTGTTCCATCTCTCCATCCGCCGGGATGCTCGGTATGCTTTGCTTCATTGCCCCATACCGGGCCTCTTGGCTCATCAGCAGAAGTTGGCTTCCTATCTGTTTTTATCGGCCACTAGAACAATTGCTCAGGCCTGGAAGAGTCCGGTTGTCCCTCTTCAGGGGGTGCGGGATCGTATGACCACTATGATGCTCAACGAACAGATGTCGAGTATCCGCAACGACTCCCAACATAAATTTTTGAAAATATGGGAGCCGTGGTTGCAATATGCCTTTCCCACACTCTCCCCGGCTAGTCTGGGGATGTAATGGCTTTCGGTATTGGCGCTCTTGGACCTCTGCCCCTTGCCCCTCTCTTTTTTTTTTTTTTTTTTTTTTTTTTTTTTTTTTTTTTTTTTTTTTTTTTTTTTTCTTCCCCTCTTTCTTCTTCTTTTTCATTCTTTCTCTGTTTTGGTGTGACTGGCCTGCTGCATTTAGTTGTTATAGTCAGTTACAGTAATGTTTTGTAATTTATGTGCCATTGATAGCCTCTGTGTGGGCGTACCTTTTGCCCTGTTGGCTATAGAGCACTGTTTTTCCTTTTTTTTTTTTTTTATTTTGCATTTTTTTTTATCTGTGCAATTGATAGCCCCTGCGTGGGCGTGTTTTATTGCCTCTCTTTTATACTGTTTAAAAATTAATAAAAACCATTGAAATAGAAAAAAAAATAGCAGTGTTTGTATTCTTCTTTACAAACTCAAACATTCACTATATAAACTGAAAAATGTTTGAAGATTTTGCTTTCCTTTGAATCACTTAATATTTAGTTGTATAAGCACTGTTTCTGAGAACTGCTGTACATCTGTGTTGCATGGAGTCAACCAACGTCTGGCACCTGTGAGCAGGTATTCCAGCCCAGGATGATTGGACTACATTCCACAGTTCTTCTCTATTTCTTGGTTTTGCCTCAGAAACTGCATTTTTTGATGTCACCCCACAAGGTTTTCTATTGGATTAAGATCCAAGGATTGGGCTGGCCACTCCATAACGTCAATCTTGTTGGTCTGGAACCAAGATGTTGCACATTTACTGGTGTGTTTGGGGTCGTTGTCTTGTTGGAACACCCATTTCAAGAGCATTTCCTCTTCAGCATAAGGCAGCATGACCTCTTCAAGTATTCTGATGTATTCAAACTGATCCATGATCCCTGGTATGTGATAAATAGGCCCAACACCGTAGTATGAGAAACATCCCCATATCATGATGCTTGCGCAACCATGCTTCACTGTCTTCACAGTGTACTGTGGCTTGAATTCAGTGTTTGGGGGTCGTCTGACCAACTGTCTCCGGCCACTAGACCCAAAAAGAACAATCTTACTTTCATCAGTCCACAAAATGTTGCGCCATTTCTCTTTAGGCCAGTCAATGTGCTCTTTGGCAAATTGTAACCTCTTCAGCACATGTCGTTTTTTTCAACACTGGGACTTTGCGGGGGCTTCTTGCAGATAGCTTGGCTTCACATAGGCGTCTTCTAATTGTAACAGTACTCACAGGTAACTTTAGACCCTCTTTGATCTTCCTGGAGCTGATTGTTGGCTGAGTCCTTGCCATTTTGGCTATTCTTCTATCCATTTGAATGGTAGTTTTTCGCTTTCTTCCACGTCTTTCCGGTTTTGGTTGCCATTTTAAAGCATTTGCGATCATTTTAGCTGAGCAGCCTATAATTTTCTGCACTTTATGTTTTCCCCTCTCCAATCAACTTTTGAATCAAGGTACGCTGTTCTTCTGAACAATGTCTGGAACAACCCATTTTCCTCAGAATTTCAGAGAGAAATGCACTGTAACCAGCATGTACAACATTTGCTGCCTTCCTTCCTTAAATAAGGGCAATAATTGCCACCTGTTTTTCAAAGAATGAATGACCTCTCTAATAGAACTCCACACTGCTATTATTTTGAACATGCCCCTTTCAATTAGTGATTGAATTACACAGAATCAGCAGCATGCATGTCATGATTGTTGGGTCTGTTGGATTTCTATTACTCTACTACACCTGCTAGTAAATTATTTGCCATGTAGAAATATCATTTCTACCAAAAACAGTGATTGATCAGGTTAGTGATGTCTGACTGCTATTATTTTGAACACAACTGTGTGTTGTGTGTGTGTGTGTGTGTGTGTGTGTGTGTGTATATATATATATATGTATAACAAAAATTGATCAACTTCCCTCTTTAACCACTTGCCAACCGCGCTATAGACAAATGACAGCTACAACGCGGTTGTACAGTTCTGGGAGGGCGTCCTTTTGCGCACCCCCGGCGATCTCCATGATCGCTGTGTCCTACGGACACAGCTGATCACATGATGTTGTAAAAGGACAATCACAGCAGCCTTTTACCATGTGATCAGCTGTGTCCAATGATGGTAAATGCAGTTGCTGGTAAATGCAGTTGTCACGGCGTGAGGAAAGTACTGCCGATAGCCAGCAATTGTCCGAGGACGGATCGGCAACAATCATTAGGGCATTGATGATCAGTGGCACCCATCAGTGCACCAGTCAGTGCCCATCATTGTTGCATATCCGTGCTGCCTCATCAATGCACATCAGTGAAGGAGAAAAATTACCTGTTTTGCAAAATTTTATAATAGAATTTTTTTTTTTTTTTAATAGCGCAAAAATAAAACACCCAGTGGTGATTAAATGCCATAAAAAAAGCTCTATTTGTGTGAAAAAAAATTGATAAAAATGTCATATGATTACAGTGTTGCATGACCGCGCAATTGTCATTCAAAGTGCGACAGCGCTGAAAGCTGAAAATTGGCCTGGGCAGGAAGGGAACATAAGTGCCCAGTAGGCAAGCGGTTAATTGCTTTTACTTGCTCTTTTACTTGCTCTCCTGTGTTTGTGTGCTGTGGAGAACTGTTTGTGCTAGCTCCCTGCCATATAGCATGTCTACAGTAAAACAGACTGGTTATTGTACTCTATGGTAGAGGACTTGCTGCATTCACAGTGCTGCACAGCCACAGGCTCCCAGGAGTTTAACATTTCACTTCTTGTGTTAATGATATATTTAATAATATATAATTATAGCTAGTTATGGTTACCTTAGATGTATAGATTTATCCCCAGGAACAATAGCTGGACATTGAAAAACATCTGCTCATTGTCAGTAACATTTCCCACTTGTGTTGGTACTTGGTAGACAAAATAGCAGTAGCATGGTTGCTTCCTTAATCATTGGGCATGTTGTGCAGTGATTTTTAATTTTTTTTTTTATTTTTTTTTCGTTCGTGAGGGTAGATGTACTTGGTATGGCCTCCTAAGCTTGCCTTAAATAGCCTTCTCTCACCACAGCAATTTATTGGACTGTTGTATTAAAACTAATTACTGCAAGACAGTTTAGGTCACTTCATCGGGTATACTATTCTAACTTATAACAAGGTTTAGAACCACAACTCAATAATATTGTGTCTTTCTTTCAAAGGAGGAAGGAGTGGATCTGATGAATCGAGAGACCGCACGTGAACGGTAAGAGTATTCCTTTTTTGACTCTCCTTGCCATGTAAAAAAATTCTAAAGCAAACAACAAAAATTAATCTATTGTATCTTACCAGTTCTTAGATGTTTAAGACTGCATTTGTTTTCTTTTTGGGGGATTTTTCACCTGATGTAACCTGCCAGTAACACTCTTTCTGCTCTATGGTGACAGCATTCATTCAGTGTACTGTATTTGTGGAGGAGCAGCATTGTCACCCACCCAAGTTGCTTGTTCCTTATTTGAACTGCAGAACACCTTCCCCCACTCCCCCTTCCACAACCTAGGGAGAGGTGTCCTATAGTTAAGGTTTAAACTGAGCAAGACTGATAACACTGCTTGATATTTTATTGAATGGGAATTTACAAGGACACTGAATTTCTAGCAGAATCGAGCTAATCTTAATAGAATTCTGTAAGGTAGCCTTGGCATGTACATGAATGGCGTTCTTGGACTGCAAGGTTTCTGTTTTTGGCTCTATTCAGGTTTTCATTTTGTGATATTTTGTTTGGCTGTTGTGTGGCCTATTCTAATATTTATAGAATAGTGATTCAGTTCCACTAATTTATTTTTAATCTCTTTAGGGAAGTGCAAACTGCAATGCAAATGAGCCTTTCCTGGGAGGAAAGCTTGAGCCTGGTAAGTAGTTGCACATTATCTGTTTTAATGTACACAGATAAAAAAAAAAAAAACTTTAAAATCCTATAAACCAGTGAATGTGACAGTTACTGCAGGTGGATCCGTTACTGTAATTTAAAACACATGCACCAAGAAATATACAAATACACCTGCAGTAAATGTTTGACTAGCAAATTTACAACTTCATGAATATACCCAATGAATTATTTCTTTGTTCTGGGTATTTAAAGTAAACCTATCACTTCTGTAACCACTTGCTTCCCAAGCCTTTTCTGACACTTCACTTCCTTCCTACATGTAAAATGTATTTATTACTTAGAACCCCCAAACATTATATATTTTTAAGCAAGGCCCTAGAGAATAAAATGATGGGTTTTGCCATTTTTTTTAATTTCACACCGTATTTGCGCAGATATTTTTTTTTTTTTTTTTGGGAAAAAATATGCTTTAATGGATTTTAGTGAACATGGACACACTATAATACCAATTTTTTTGTAAAATATAAAATCTGATGTTACACCGAGAAAAGAGATACCAAACATGTCACGCTTTAAAACTGCACGCTACTGGAATGGTGACATACTACGATACTTCCATAGGCGACACTTTAAAAGTCTTTACAGATTTACCAGTTTAGATTTACACACCATTTTATTTATTTTTACACTTTCTTTAAAAAAAAATAAAATTCTGATCACTTTTATTGCTGTCACAAGGAATGTAAAGATCTCTTTTGACAGCAATAGGCAGTATCAGGTACACCCGTAAAAGCAATCCAGTGGCTGCTTAGCCACTTGGATAACTTTTACATGAAACGCAATCACTGGGGCTTTCAAACAATACTGGGTTTGTGGTTGTAGCCTGAACCATGATCCCAGTATAAACCGCTTCCCTACCAGGACTTGTATAAACATGCGCGGGTAGGGAAGTAGTTAAAGCAGTAAAGCACTAGCGCGGCGACTGGTATTTTCCTGCATCAGTTCAACACCAGTCACTACAAGGGCACATGGAAAACACTGCAACAGAACCCCTGGGTGCTGAGCAGTGTCATGAGAAAAAAAAAATGCATAGTGTGTGCATTTTTCTGAAACAGACCGGAGCTTATCTGAAGGCTCCATGCATTACCTGTTTCTACGCACCACAGTGAAGCTGCAGTGCATAGAAATTAATGAACCGTCATTTTGCCATTTCATTAAAGTTGGAAGAATGAAATTGCACGGTGAGGTGTGCTTTAAATGTGCAACACTGCTACCATGACCTTCCAATGACAGGTGCCTGCATAGTAAAACCCTGCTTTTTACTTTATAGGCCCTTTAAAGTCAAGCAGTTGAATACCTTGGTAGCCGTCCCATTCCCAGTAATACATGCACCCATCCCCCACTCTCTCCCTTCTTTTTTTTTTTTTTTTTTTTTTTTTTTTTTTTTTGTCCTTGACAGGACTGAAACATTGTGTTTTGAGGGATGGGGAGGTAATTTACAGAATGTGACTGCTTACCTCTGGCACCAAACTGTCCTGCCCTTGCTATTTTCTACGAGCCAGCTACACCACCCCTCAATTTAGAAGAAATGGGAAGGGTGGAGCTTCCCTTAATTTCCTTTTCACAAAGTTGAGATTTGCATAATCAAGAACCCGAACTGTGGGACTCCTACAATGTTCTAAAAAGAAAACTAACTTTATCCTGGCCACTTCCAGTGGCATTTTAATTTGACATGGTAAAAAAAAAAAAAAGCTATGTTCTAATTTTACCTAAACCCTCGAGTTGCCCGCCTGTCTACGCATAGCTTTAGTGCCTTTGGAGTTGATCTGGAACAGGTATGTAGTTCAGGAGTTGTGATGGCTTAGGGTCAGTGAGAGGGTAGTATGTACAGGCAGCCACCATTTTCTAGGTGAAGGTTTCATATATAAACTTTTTTTGGTTGAGTGTGTGTTGTGTGTTTTTTATTATGTTTGCTCAAGTTAATTTTTCCATCTGCTTCTTGTGAGCCTAAAACACTTTCTTTTTACAGAGTGATAATGATTTTGACAAGCTTGATAAACCTTCATCTCCAAAACGTGTTGACTTTACTCCAGTGTCACCAGCCCCTTCACCTACAAGAGGCATAGGAAAGGTAATATCTTTTTTTTTTTCTGCTTTTGGTCTTGGTCAGAAGACTAGAGCAAAAAGACTTTAACCCCATAGGGACAAATTTTGCTAATTTATTCTAGTCAAATGAGGCATGAGATTAAATCTGTTGCCCCTGTGTTACTATGTGTTCTCTAAAGTCATTGTGCTCTTCCCTGCTTTATATTAGTCTCTATGGTTTTTATTCTGGAATTCAGATTCATTTTGCTACTTTTTAATATTTGAGCATATGAAGAGAAGTTTGGACCTTGAAAATTCCTTACTTACATGTGTAGTGTGTGTCCAAAAAAACCCTGTTCTTCCAAGCTACATCTACACCCTCTGGACATTATACCTGTAGATCTTGAGCTCTCCTGGGCCATGCCATGGACAAATTACTTCAACACTGATTGCTGGAAAGCCAGTAGTATTTGCTTTTGCTGATGAAGTTAACACCTTTTAAGTAAGCATGTTTAATTGGCATTATGTGTCCTTTTCCTATAGGGCACATGTACTTTTACACATGCAATATAAACCAAAGGAGTTATCAGGGCTGCCAGCCTTTAAGAACAGGCTGAGTGGTAGTATAATACTTCTACATGTCTAAAAGTGTGAATACCTTTACTGCAGGTTAGATGTGCATAATTTTATTAATTTTTTTTCCCAATATAAAGCCAAACAAGTTCTGAAGCTGTAACAATGTTGCCACCCTTCAGATGAAAAAATCCTAGTTAAACCTAGGTGTTAAATATAAATACTCTTGTACAGATCAAAGGACATCATTGTTGTTTTTTGTCACCCACAGCAATGTTTCTCACCTTCTTTACAAATGTGTCTGAGCAGTAATGGCTTGCCTCCAAGCCCCATACCTAGTCCCACAAGACGATTTACCACGTAAGTATTATATTTCAAGACTCTGTAATGTGTGTCTTTTTATTTGTACTTTGTTGTGAAAGTGATGAAAAGGAAACACAAATGTTGTCCAGCAGATGGAAAACAATCTGTTTGCCATGGGCAGTATCTCTATTTGTATAGATTTAGCTTTTTAAGGGTAACCTTTTCTACAGAGTATATTATTGGTGGGCCTTTCTCAGAATTGGATGCGTACAGATTGGAAAGTCCCAATCAGACTTTCACTGTTTCACATAGTATATAAAACGTAGTATCACAGGAAAAAAAAACAATTTGCATAGTCCATACACTTGAATGTGAATGGGTTATTGAAACCTGGGCACTTTCCATCTTATGGAGCCTCGATCTACTAATCTATGCATAATAGCTGAGATATATATTTACCGCATTATACCATGGAACCCTATTAGCTTGTATTTCATAGGACATTATATTTGAGGAGGATTGTTCTATTAGGCCTTGAGTTTCCTAGCTCTTTTCTGGATTGGTGGTTTCATGTGCAGTGTCCCTGGTTTGTCTACTGCTTTTCTTGATGCTGGTGAGAGTTATTTTCCTAGGGGTGTGTTTTGTGCAAAGTTTTTAGCAATATTTGATGTGATTACACTGAATACAGTTTGTTTTTTTTTCCCCTCATTAGCAGGAGGAGTCAGAGCCCAATAAACTGCATTCGCCCGAGTGCACTTGGTCCCATAAAAAGAAAAGGTAGGGTATATTATGCGTTTAATCTTATTAGCTTGTGTGAGTCTTGCAGGATGCATGACAGATATTTAGGTGTACCATTTGGTGGGACATCAGTATATCTAGGTCATGCAAAAGCAAACTGATGCAGAGTCATCAGGGCTGCCAGTTGTAAAGTACAGACTGAGTGGTAGTATATGACTCCTACATTGCTTGTTTTTTTTTTTTTTTTTTTTTTTCTGTAATTCCAAAGGAAAGACTAGAACACACAAACACTGAGAAATCATATGTACAAGCCCAAAGCCAAAATCTTTCCTGATTTTAAACCAAACACTAACTAAGGTTTATTTGTTTTCAGTTGAAATGGAAATCGAAAACCAACCAAAAAGGCTGTTTCAAGGAACTACAAACATGCTGTCCCCTGACACGACTCATCTATCCGATTACAGTTGGTAAGATTACATTCTGGTTTTCTAGAATTATTGAGGGGCTCAGCAGCAGTACCAGAGTTTAGTGGTGGGGTGCACTATGGAAATCTGTCAGGTCAAAATTCAAAAATGTGAGCTCTTTTGGGCTTACAACACACATGGATTGGTTTACTAAACCTGTAATATAAACCTGCACCTTAAGATATATCCCCACTTCCTAGTAAAGCTGCTAACACTAAAAAGACTTGTGTACTAAGTTTAAAATGGCAAATAATAATGTAGCGCTAAATCCCAAACCAAAATAATGCCAAAAATTCTACACATTGTTTTATACACATTGTTTTATCAGCGTCTTTTCATGTATACAATTGTTTGTATTATTTTGGTTTGGAATTTAGCGCTACACTGTTATTTGGTTTTACTAAACCTGAATGGTGCAAAATCTGGTGCAGCACTGCACAGAAATCCACTTCCAGAGTTTATTGCCAAAGCTTAATTGAACAAGCTGAAGTTGGAAGCCGATTGGCAACCATGCACAGCTGTAACACATTCTGAGTGCTCCAGTTCTAGTAAGTATTCCCCAAAGCATTGTGCAAACTTGGTGGTATCGGCCCTACCCAGATTTCTTTTGCTAAACTACTTAAACCCACCTACTCTGCTATCTCAAAACATAAAGGCTGATTATTCTGTAGTCCAGAGTATGAATTACTTTTGTGAGCAATACACAGGAACACTCTGAACTTGTGACATAATCAAGTTTGTTTTTTGCAAGGGATCAGTTCACCTTTTTGGAACATTACATGTTCGGACAGTATTTAGGGTGGTGTTAGCATGTAACATATTCCAGTTCCTGCAGCCTCCCCCTCTGATCCCTGCCTCCAGTGTGACAGCGGGCGGGAAATCCTTTCCTTGTACCTTCTGTCACAATTTGAATAAAAACAACTTGGCCTTGCAGGACTTTGCCTACACGGTCATGTCATTCATTCAGTGTCCTGTGAATGGATGGACAACTACCGTCAGCCACCATGGCTGATGGCTTGTCATTCTGAATGAACTGAGAGGGTGCTGGTGAGTTCCTTTTTGTAGTTCATTCGCAAGCTCTGCAGTTTTGTAACTGACAGCATGTACTGTATGTGGGTATGGGCTATAAGCTGCAGGGCTTGTATGAAGAAGCCTGACATTGTACCCTTGATCATGGGCGCAATGCGTTTTCAGGCTGCTGCAGAAAAAAATAAATGCACTGTTTTTTTTTCCCTGCAAAAAATATGTGCATTTACTATAATATTTTGTGTTTTTTGTTTTTTTAAGGTGAAATTATTCTTTTTTTTAAAGCTCTGGAGCAAAGTGCACTTAAGAGTACACGGTCTATTTATCTTGTATAAATCAGCCACATTATCTGTCTACTAATTACTGCAGAGAGTCTGTTTTATTCAATCAGCAGTGAAATAAAAGGATCAAAAATTGCTCCTGTTTTTTACAATAATTACAAACTATACATAAAACCAAGCTGGTGTGTGTGTGTTGTGTTTTTTTTTTTTTTTTTTTTTTTTTTTTTTTTTTTTTTTTTTTTTTTTTTTTTTTAATGAAGTAATACAAGCTGGTTACGGAAAGAAACTATAGTTTTCAAGAAATGCTTTGACAAAATTCATTACTAAATGCCATACCCTCTTATACTTTCATATTGGTTTTGGCAATTGCTGTGCAACATTTTGCATAATGCACTTCTGTATTGGAGCTGAACTTGTGCATTTCTTTTGGTAAGGAAAGGCATTGTAATGAGTTTTTAAGGAATGTATGAATAGGGTGGTGAAAAAATCTTGGCCGTATTGCTACTTCAGCTCTTGTACTGGACAGCAAGTTTATTGGGGTTTCCCCAATTCATTAACACTTCTTCTCCATTTCCAGCCTTTCCTCAGACCTTGATAGCAGCAGCAGCATTGGCTTCTCTGACTCAACGGCTAAAGATGGTTGTGTGACTGACTCACCCGTGGCTTGTTCCAACTCCAGTTCTTCATTCATATCATTAGATGATCTTTCTCCAAAATGAAGGTCCCAGCCCAGATTGTTAGGAGACTGCATGGCGGAGTAAATAAAGGAGCAAAACGATCTCTACACTTCAAGCCCAGTCGCTATGTGTGTATTATTTAAATTTTTTTTTTTTTTTTTATAATTATGTATATAATAAATGCCCTGCCTGTGTGGACTGTTACAGAAAAGAAAGTGGGGAGGGGGCTGTATATTTTATGTACAGAATAGTATGTACAGTATGTGTACATATTGCCTGTATCTGCCAGGTCTTTGTGAATTTTTTTTCTTTTGATATTTTAATGTGTATTTATTTTAAAATTAAAGGATGTAAGGTCTAATTGCGGTCTAAGAATGTACTTAAACTTGGTTTGGTGACCAATTTTTGACCAGCATTGACTGTTGGAGAAAAAAAATTGCCAACCAGTAATCTGTCATTGATGGCTCTTTCATTCATCATTTTTTTTTTTTTTTTTTTTGTTTGTTTTTGCGTCAACTTGAGAAGATTTTCACATTCACTTGAAATTGACAAATTGAATTGGTGCTGTTAGGCTACTGTTCATGTCCTCTTATTTTTTTTTTTTTTTTTTCCTGGCCACTCCAGGTAGTCTCACGTTACCATTTATGTACTTGTATGAACACATGTCCCATGGCAGCTTGGTCTAGTTGGTTGTTTGTGGCTGAAAATTGCAGTGTTGGTTTATGCTGTGCATATGGCAGTCTGTTCTATTCCTTCCAACCACGGCAACCTTCCTTACTGTATGTTCATTTGTATCCCAGTTTCAGGTGACCAAATGATAGAAATTGGTTGGTGCAGTTCATCTGGCACTGGCATCTTTTTTTCTAATACAGTTTTCAGTCATGTGGTTACTGAAAACTAAGAGTGAAACTGTTCTATGGACAGTTTCTGTGCTTTAAAAGCTGGATGAAAATCAAAACCAGTGTCTAGCTTAGATAGATGCACAGGACAGCCTGTAAAAGAAGATTGAATATACTTGCCTTTCCAGCAGGCTGTGTATTAAAGCTGCTGTTCTCCACTTGCAGCTTGAATTCCACACTTGAAGTGTGTAGAATATCTGCTACCCCACTGCAAGCTGTAGTTATAACTGGCTCCTTACCTCACTACAGTACGCACAAGAGAACCCACTGTGAGCAATGAGGTAACAGATATTCCACCTATCCAATGGGACTAATACCTGCACTATCCAGAAGCAGTAAGTAGCTTCTTAACACAAGGACCACTGGAAAAGTAAGTATTACTCTTCACAGGCCGCCTTGTATTTAGAAGTAACCCTGTGGTGACAGGGTCACTTTAAGTCTAGATGGTATAGGGATTTAGAGGCAGCCAGGTGCACAAGATGAATATTCACATGAAAAATAATTGTTCCTTGCCATGTCTCTGTCATGTTTGACTAGCATTATTAGCTTTACTAGCGAAAGTGTGCCTGTTTCAGAATGGGAGATTTATATGTTCTTACAAGTGTGTGAAACTTTAAGAAATAAAACCACTTTTATCATTTGAATTAATCTTTAGTTTCATGGTGGATCAAGTTAAAGTGTAACTATGGCCAAAATCTAAAATTATTTTATTACCTGGTAGTCCAGTCAGTAAGTCTGTTTTTCTGCTTCCCAAAACTAGTTTACCCAGGCAGGGAGTGCTTACAATTCTCAGCTTTTATTCAGTTACATATAACCTTTAGCCCCAAGGGGGGGGGAGGCTTTTGCTGTAACTGCTTGAAGTGTTAGCTGGACTTGGGATTTAGATTGTTAGTCACTAATTCTACTAGTCCATCCAACACCACCCTCTCCATTGATTGATAATGCTGCTGTCGAAAGGTGGCTATTGTTGCTCCACCATAGATGCAGTGGAAGAGTGAATGTAGCCACCAGAAGATGGGGGAGGTATTCCTGGAGCGTCACCAGGTTAAAGTGGGATAAATGCCTGGGAAAAAAAAGTGGTTTTGCACAGAGCAGTCCGGATCCTCCTTTTTGTCGGGTCCCCTGCCAGTGTTCCTGGCCCCTCCCCCTTGCTCAGTGCCCCCATAGCAAGCCGCTTGCTATGGGGGCACTGGTATGTGTTCGCTCCCGTGCTGGCTCTGTATGTCTGAGACACTCTTCACTGGGTCTAAAACGAGGTATGTAATGAAAACAAATGTTTTTATTCAAACGTTTATTTAACTTATTGATGAGGATAGAAAAGAGAGGAAACCAAGGAAGGCAAAGTATAAGCAGAGGGGGAACCAAGGAAGGCAAAGTATAAGCAGATTAAACTTCAGCTTTATTATGGACCAACTAGGGCTTTACTGTCAGTCTGACACTGAACATGTTTATGGGGAAGGAGCGAGCACAAGCAGTGTGCTCCTGCCTTCTCCATTGTCCCTCCAGCAGGCTGTGTTTGGAGAATAGACTAAGGAGGTACAAATGCAGCAGTCTCTTCTAAACACCTGTCAGGAGGACATGTACTACTACTGTGCTTAGGAAGGGGGGTGAGGTGTTTGCAGTGGTGAGCAAAGTTTGGCTGACCTCTCACTTTTACCAGAAACTGGGCGCCCATATGTTTTTTTGGACCGTGAGTATTCTGGGAGGTATTTTTAACAATGTGAGAAAACTACAGGTGCTAACATGCCCAGCTATAGCGTGTATTTACTTCAGCTATTGCTGAAAAAAAATCTGTTTTCCTTTAAGTCATGTATGTAACATAGTGTGCAGTGAACTGTATGCATTCTACAGGCGAACGTTCCAAGGTTTTTTCAAACTATTGTAAGACCACTAAAGTTGCAGTGTAAGTGCCAAAAAAGACTGTAGAAAACAAAGTACTTTTATAGAAGTACATATTCGCTTTAGAACACATCTGGCTGCATGGTGACTTTATTATCATATACATCTATCAAAACCCTTGCAAAAGTAGTGCCATTCGCTTAAAATGTACATTGGTTTGTTTTTACCACACTGGGTACGTGAGTTTTATCAGAAAGTTACCAGCAGGAAGAATCCCTTTTAGCAATAATCACGTTTGTGGATTTTGTCCAAAAAATGCATAGCCAGAACTTTTTTTTTTTTTTTTTTTGGTAAGTAAACCTGTCACAAGATTATTTATTATTATTATACAGTGTTTATAAAGCGCCAATAGTTTGCTCAGCGCTGTACATTACAAAGGGGGACAGAACATGTGACAGAACAATACCAATACAATGCAAAACATGAGGGGATCGAGGACCCTGCTCTTTCAAGCTTACAATCTAGGAGGGAGGGGATGGTGGCACAGGAGGAGATAGCTGTGGGGGATGGAGTGGATGAGAAGCATTAATGTGTGCTGAGTGTTTGAGACCAGGGCAAATTGGGTTGCCGCACATAAGAATATTTCAAATTGCAGATGAAGGCAAATTGATATAGCTGATGCAGAAAGATGAAAGAAAGCTGCTCGATTTCCCCATCAATACAATCATGTGTTGATGGGGGAATCCCTCTCATGGAGCAATTGTGTTCTGGCAGGGAGAGCGGGAGCTATCCTTGAACACAATAGTTACTGATAGCGGCTATAGCCTCTGGCAGTAATCGCAAGCTGAAAATCTGACATGGTTGTACCCAAGTCTATCCAATCAGCTTTCCCATAGTTGGATTGAATCTTGGCCAGTCCCCTTTGAGATTTGAACCATCTATGGCCGGCTTAAGTTAAGAGCAGTGAGACACTCCTGGATCCCAGAATGCAAAGTCATTGTTTTTTTTGCTGCAGAGTATAAAGAAGTGTGCATATTTTTCAGTGCTGGATGCACAGTTGGTTCAATGCTTTACTCTGCTTGTGTTTTAGATTTGTGTATAATACACACATTTTTTTTTTTTTTTTTTTTTTGTTCCTGAGATCCCAGGAGGGAAATTATTGTGTGGGCACACTGATAACTGCTGTCAGACAAGGTGTGTATGTCTAGACGTTAATCAATTTTACACCGAATCTTCACTCTCCTCTATAGCATGTCCCAGCACAATCTGTTCCTTCTTTTTTTTTTTTTTTTTTTTTTTTTTTTTTTTTTTTCAGTAGCTAAAAAGTGCTTGTGTTGTCAGATTTTTTTTTTTCTTTTGCTTTTTATTTGACAGGTTTACTTTTTTACACCCCTAATTGTATATTAAATTTGTTGGATCATCCTGGAAAAAAAACAGTGTAAATTCTCTGTAAATGTTTGAATGTTAAGTTTACTTTCAGTTATGGATCTTTTTCCAGTCAGTAATGTATATTTAAGCTTGAAGCTTATGTCTGTGTCATTTTAATGTGTTTTTATTTTGACACTATCATCAACTCATTACTTTGTTAAAATAGAGCTTTAAGTAGGCTAGCCATCTATTTTGTATAGATAAGATTTTCACAAATGCCTATATTTGTAATGTTTTATTCTTGGAATAAATGTATATGTATGCATGTCTTGCATCTGTGTTGTCCTCCTGTTTATTGAGTGTTAACAAAGCTGATGATTTTTTTTTTTTTTTTAAAGATGTAGACCTTTAAGGCCTCGTGCGCACTGGATTTTATAAAAACACCGGTAGCGTTAGCTGTAGAATGCTGCAGTAACATGAGGTTTTTGTAGTGTGTTTTTTTTTTTTCAGTGTTTGCGTTTTTTAGCTATACTCCCACAAAATCTTCAGGCTCAAAAATGCTTATAAGCGCTGGATAGTCACGTTTTTTTAGACTCCACGCTGGTAGCGCTAGCTGTGTAAAGTCACATTAAAAACGCAAGTTTTTTTTTTTAGTGTTTTTGCACAAGTTTTTTTGCTGTGTCTGTGGGTTTTTGTTTTTAGCGTTTTTTACAGACACTGCCATTTTTGGACTTTATTCAGCAAAAATGTTTGTTTGCCACGTTTTAGGCTCCATGCACACTGGGCGTTTTTAATAAGCAGAGAAAAAAACACTAAAAACTGTCGCAAAAACTCTGAAAAACTCACGTTTTTAAAGTTACTTTACATAGCTAACGTTACCAGCGTTATTAAAATGCCCTGTGTGCATGGAGCCTTAGCGTGTAATATGGTACAGAT